TCAGCTAACCCCGACCCTCCCGGTCTGGGCTCAGCTAACCCCGACCCTCCCGGTCTGGGCTAAGATAACCCCGACCCTCCTGGTCTGGACTCAGCTAACCCCGACCCTCCCGCTCTGGGCTCAGCTAACCCTGACCCTCCCGGTCTGGACTCAGCTAACCCTGACCCCGACGGAGGTCTGCTCACATGTCGGCTCTCTGGATGCAGACCACGGCGCAGGCGAACCTCTGCAGCTCCCCTCCAGATAAATCCTCCACGTTTCTCTCTCGCAGGTGGCTCAGATCTGAAAAACATCATCAGCGCATCGTCATCAACACACGAACATCCCAGAAGTGCAGCTGGCGTCGAGTCAGAGGGAAACAGCGAGTCTCGTATCCGCAACAGGCTGAGGAACATCAGCTGCTTCATGACAGCCAAACTAGCGAGTCACTAAACAAACCAGCACCAGTTAGCCCGAGACCCACTAACCAGGTTAACACCATCAGTCCACGGGTCCACCGTTTTGTGGAGCAGGACCAGAAACAAAGTACTGATGGGAGATGAAACAGAAGACTTCCTCTTCTGTCCCGGGTTCAGCAGGAGTTAACATTTCTGATAAATCAATCACAAAGACCGACAGAAAGACCAGAACCGAGTCGAGATAAACGTCCACTGAGAAACTAAAGGAGCACACACACATGACTTGGCTGCAAAGAGAGACCAGAAGCAGCGCTACACAAACAGGAATGCAGACTGCCCACGGAGGCACAGCGTGGGATCTGCTACATGAACAGTGAAGGCGGTGGACGCCCAGTCCTGGACTGAACGTGTTCGTACCGAGCTGGTCGCAGACGATGTCCTGGGTGTCGGTGTCGTCCTTCCTGCTCAGGATGGCTCCTACCGACCCCTGCAGACACACAACGGCATCAGCACCGGGAACACCACAAACTCTCAGAAGGCTGACAGAACCACAAGTCTGCTACCTTGACCGTCTTTGGGATCTGGTCGACGTACTGCGGCTTCACGATGGCTCGCAGGTCATCCTCCAGGATTTTGGTGAAGTAGTTCTGCAGCTCCGAGCCTCTGAAGTAGGTCAAGATCTCCTGCCAGTCTGGAGGGTTCTGGGACACAAGCATGGATTAAAAGACAGACCTGCAGAGTTACGTGGTCCTTAAAGCCTTCATCTGTGACCTTCTGTCTGGAAATCCACCCACTCCGAGCTTCAGACTGTGACACTACATCAGAATCTAAGCCTCATTCACACATTCTCTGAACAGATGTAGTGGCTGCAGGGCTCAACACTCACATCGTACTTGCCCAGGTTGGGTTTCTGTTTTCCAGCCAGGATCTTCAGAGCCGTGGACTTCCCGATACCATTGGTCCCCACCAGCCCCAGAACCTCCCCGGGCCTCGGGATGGGCAGCCTGCAGCCAATCAGTACCGATCAACAGAGATCAATACAAACACTGACACAGAAAGACTCAGACGAGAGCAGCGTCCATGTTCATCACATCGGTTGATCTCCTGTTGGATCCACGGACGTTCTCAAACATCTATAAGAACACTTGACGGCTCTTTTTCCAGGTTTACCAGACAGTGACAGATGAGGACACGTGTCCGGTTCTGGGGTGTAGTTACATTGATCTGAAAGGTCTGAAATGCAGCTATAGAGACTCTGAGTTGAGATAAAAGCAAAAACACCGACTACAGGGACAACGGAACAACCTCAGCATTTAGTTCTGACCATCAGCTCAGACACTATGTTGCTGCATCGTCTCAGATGGTTCTGACCCAAAGCTGAGCACTAAATGTCGAAAACTTTAATGTTTTCAGACCTGAAAATGTTTAAAAACCAGTGAAGCATTTAAAGGTTCAGCATCTGCACAAATAGAAAGAAACTCCAACATGAAATGTGGCGACGCAGACAGAACAGTTCCATCAGAACCACTGAACGGATCCAGCTGGACACAGTTTAGTTATTGATCCAGATCAGCGTCTATCTATGGATGGATCCATGGTTCTACTAGAATCCAGTCTCTGGTCACATTTCACCACCTGTTGAGGCTCTAACATCAGCAGAACCTGATGTGGTGAAGGTGGATCAGACCAGGTTCTGGTTCTACATGTTTAGACTAAATGTTGATGTGGATCATTGGTAGGAACCAGAACCTGGAGTTCAAAGGCTCTAGATGTGGGTTCTAAGGTGTGGGTTCTAGGTGTGGGTTCTAGGTGACTGTTCTAGGTGACGGTTCTAGGTGAC